TAAATGTTCATTGTGCTACCATTTAAAGTTAGTACTTTAATATTAGTACCTGGCTGACAAAATTATTTGATTTGTATTTCTCGGCATCGCTCGAAAGCTTGCTGACAAAATAGTTTTTTTTTTTTTCATTTTTCTAGGCATCGCTTGGAACAACTAAGCAACATTGCGGAAGCTTCTGCCCCGACCGATGGCGGGCGTGTCTAGGGCGTTCCGCCTTAGACACGCCCGCACATCTAAAAAAACAGTGGGGAATGAGTGGAAATCAAGGTTGATTTAGAAGGTATTTATATAGCGTAAACGGTTCAGCGTCGAAGGCAACAGCCAAGTGTGCGCTCGGGTGATACTCAAGTCGCTCCAACAGGATCGCTTGCGACGCCTCAACCTCAAACAGAAATCCATGATCTGTGACTGGGTCAAGGGGTTCAAGAGAGTTATCGATCTGAGGAAATATTTTTATGAAATTCCAAGAGGGTCATAGAGCGCAAAAAGCTGCAGATGTCTATTTGCAATGAGAACGCTCTTGGTGTGAATTAGCGCGCGTGTATATGAAAACACTTTAGTGTGAAGCACCCAGCGCCGCCCCCTAATGCCAGGCCGTCGCCACGCGCACAGGTTTGTGGTTCACTATAAACAGAAAATAAAGAAAAAACTGCTGATCAGTCGACCGGCCTGCACCGCGGTGAGGCCTTGCCAATGAAGGAAACGTAACACAAGTTTTAAAATAACGAAAGTTTAATGAAAACGATGATTTAGATAGAAACAAAAATAATATAACGGGAGTTCAGAAGAACCGAAACGTGGCAATAAATAGTCTTAGCACTTTACCCTGCCGGTGCACAGGCGGCAAAATGCAAAAACACCTAACGATTACACAGAAGAAAAACAATTACTAGACAATTGAAAACTGAACTCCTAAAATCCTGAATTACTACCAACCAGATTGCAATACTGAGGAGCTAGCGGGTGGAGGGAGTGTCTAATCTGTCACTGTCCGGGACTGACGGCCTCTTCCGTTGCATTGTCCGAAGGTGGTGGAACCGATGGATTCCACGGTAGGTTAGGGGGCAGCTCGATGAGGCCAGCCACACACACACACACACACACTTCTTGCGGAGGCTTCCCTAGCACGGACCTGGCCAGTCACCATCGCTTTTCCCGGGCTCGATCCGCTTTTCCGTAGATTGAATATCGGAGCTCCAAGTCCGAGCAGACTTCGTGTTCACAGAGGTCGCATTTCGTGCGAGACGAAAAGAACGGGTTGAAAGCGCGATATATCAAGCCAGGTGCAGGAAGGACTTGGAACCATTTGTCCTGCGGAGTCTTGTTTATACTAAAGGGCATACAAATTTGGAAACTGATGTACGCTTCGGTACGTCTCCGGTAATTACACTAGAGGAGTCTCTAATGTATTGAGGCTCAGCCGGATTTGATGACACAAGCAATCAACTAGAACACGTTCAAGGGACTCGGATCATCTTCCACTCAAGAGTCCGCGCTGCATGCAACGTACAAGAAATTCTCCTGATCAAATTTTTTATATTTCCACATGTGAAGCGAGTAGATTCCAGGCACCCTCTTGGCGTCCTTCCACTCTAGTTTTTTTCGTTCTCGAAATGCCTCAAGCTCGCCATCCGTAGGCTTAGTGTTTTGCAAGCCCCCCTACCGCACCGCATGCGTTCTTGCCGTGCCCTCTTGCCGAAAAGATCCACTTCGTCGTCTGGAGTTCACTGCACTGCAACTAGTGAAGTTGGTACCGGTTCTTAAAATGGGCGGCCACTCCATCGCTAACGTAAGTGAAGCGAGAGTAGATTGGTGCGTTGTCCTCGAGGTGTGCCTTAATTTTTGACAAGGCCAAGCATGCATGTGCTGGGTCATGAGTTAGATCGTCGCAAAGCGCGGCATAGCTCCGCGTCGACTTCCTTGACATTGCAATGCACGTAAAGATGCTGATTTGTTTCTTCTGCCAATGGTACGCCTATACCTCGCCCGCAGGCACCGCGGTTTAATTCTCGGCAAGTCGAAAATGGAAAACAATAGCACCCATTTCACAAGACTGCTTCTCGTCATGTATGCCCTTTGCTTGCACGCGTCGTAGGTAATTATGAGGGATGCACATTATAACAGTCTTTTGAAGCTCCTTCTTAATGGAGGAGCCTTCAGCGTCTTCATATCCAATATCAAATGTTTTTTTTCCGTTATGAGCGTCTTCTTTATCAGCGTCTTCTTAATGAACTCCCCCTATTCGCATGTGGCGAAGACTGCATCCTCATCATATCCAATATCAATTTTTTTTCCAATGTCGATTTTTCTGCTCTTGGGCTCTGGTCGCACTTGCCCAGGAAGCAAGGGAAAGTACGCTGCGGACAAAACAGAGAGCCTACACATCTTCCGCAGAAAGTGAATCCTTACCGTATTTTTCAGCCTTACGCAACGTAGCTGGAACTTGGCACAGTAGGTACAAAGACACACCTTTTGGTGTGGCAAGAACTTGGCCCGGTGAGGTCGCAAAGATATAAATTTTGTGAGGCCAATCGCAAAGCTGGGATGGGCAAGTTTGTAGACGCCGTATGCTTCGCGCAGGGACCGGATCATGAAGCGTTTTGGAGCCGATTCGGTCTTCCCCTTGATTTTCACACGCACAAAATCTTCCTTATTCGGGCTTTGCCGTCCAGCTCGCCCATTTTGTAGTATGCAAGCGCTGCATATACATTCTCTTTACTAACCTTGCATCTACACGCCACGCTTCCCCCGTTCTCCGCATTTGCTCTACCACGGGGAGGGGCTGTTGTGCCTCTGCAGGATGAATGACTCTGGTGTTTGTTTACCATCGCCACACGCCCTGCCGGTTATGTTTACACCGCGGAGGGGACGCCGCAGGTGTCGCGTATCGCTGCCTCGCGTCGGTGAGATACGATCGCCTTTGCGAGCGCGGATGTAACCTTCGGCCTCACTTTCAGAGGGGGGGGGGGGGGGGGGGGGGGGGTTGGGCTGCCACTTATTTTGTCGGCAAGTCTGCATCAAGAAACACTTGTTTTCCTTTAATGTCGTCAATTATGCTCCGGCTTGGAGTCCAGCTACGCCATGCGTTACAATGCAATAATATACCACGAGCTAAACCTTCCGTTCACGCCACGATGTTTATCAGTCGGGCCAAAGGCTTCCACAACATCGCTCGGTCCTGACAGTTCCTAGAACGACGAATCAAATTATTTCGTCATGTACAGGTACTTATATTAAAGCGCCAATCTAAAAGGGTAGCACGATGAGCACCTAACCGGCCAAGTAAAACAGCGTAATGACGATCGGACGCGCCGTAAAGTTCAGTATTCATTGGCCATATCAGCCACATCAGCGATGAAAACAAGTTCACGTGTTATTTTTATAGTGCTTCATGGCGCCTGGGCATCTATATGGCCAAGTACGGATATGTGGCATGCGTCGCTCGTGTACCGTTAGACGTGAAGACAGAAACGTCCCAGCGGTAACTGACGCGACCATGACCAAGTTACACATTTATTTTTTTAGTTTTAAAACAAAATAATGCAGCATCCTTTTTGCAGATTTGTAATTATCAGTCATCGAGGGCCCATCGAGTAAAATTTAAAGAAAATCGAGAATGTTTTTTTTTTTTTTTTTAGTTGCCGCACGAAAATCGGAATATTTTTACTTTTTCTATTTCGATGAACCTTCTGGGCGCAATGCAGAAAACACTGTCAACGGCTACAAGGCTGATTAATTTGCTGAAAATTTGCAAAGCATTAAACACTTGACACAAAAAGTTTCAGCTTTAGAATATAAATTTGAAACAACTTAAAATTCGCCAAAAAATGCCTCATTAAGTAAGATTTGTTCAATATGCCAGGTTTGTCATTTTATTTTGCTTGAAATTTATGCTAATATGAGTTCATTTTAACAAATTCTGGTAGTAAAATATGCTTCCATTAAGCGTAAAACTTTTGACTATATAGAAAGCTGCACTCTTTATTCCTCCAGCCTTCAAAGCTGCATCATCGCGCAGTTGGAAAAATCGTTGTTTCAACCTTCTCTCGAATGCGATTTGTCTCACAAATACAAGGAAGTATCTTGAAAAGTAAGGCCTGTCCCATTGTGTCGATAGGTTTAGCTACCTCATATAAAAATTTAATTGAAAAAAAATAGGCATGGCACCACCATGACCGTCCTTATCTGAACACACCCAGTTTAACGACATTGTCGATACATTAAAAAAACTACACGATTTATCTGCAATTTAATTTAATCAACATGACCGTCCCAAAAGATATGTGCGGAGAAGTACACTTCGAATGTTTTAAATGCCCCGACAACCTCAATAGGGAATAAATAAAAAATTATATTGGTTGGTTTTCAGCAATCTTGTTTTCAGGTCGATAGCTTTTGCTTTAATTGTACTTATTTTAAGTAGGTTTGAGTCAGTCCTACTTCCTAATTCTGGATATACTTGACTTGACTTGTAAGCGTCAATACAAAAGTTTAGTTCCTCGCTAATACCTACCATGTCGCAAATATATCAAAATTAAATGGGTTTAGAATACCGCCCCAAAGCAAACTCGATTATAAATTTTCACATCCGACGAATGGCCGCTAAAATAAACATATTGTTTCCTGTGTCTCATGTAGTTCTTAAGTAAAAATAACGCCTATCTCCAAATATTATACCTGTCGAGGTCCTTAGAAATGTAGTTCACTCAATACAATTTAAATGACCAAATGTTTTTGTAAAATCAGAATGTGTACCATAAAGATATTTATATATTTAAATGTGTTTAATTTCAGCTCTTCGATTGAGTTAAGCTAATTCCGTAGAGCGATTTTCCATGCACCCATATTGTGATACAATAATAATGATATATTCTTTTCAGAAGTTCCCAAGCCTACCGTGCAAGCTGGTTTCAACGCCCTTTGTCCCATTACATTTGGTTACCCAACCAAACGAAAAAGCCGCAGTCGGCATTGCTATGATTTCTCGATCTATGCCTTACCGGTCTATTCTTTGTCGAGCGCTGGAAGAATTGGTCGCTGAAATGCACTCTTCTAGTAGTCCCCGACGTACCCTAGATATTGCAGCCGTTTGCACTCGACCCCTGCGGAACTCTGTCGCGTCCTTTTCTTGGGTGCTCGACGTCTCTTTCCTATAGGTTCTATCTCCATCATCGGTCGTTAGCTTGGGCTAAGAAATCATTTGCTATTGCTATTTTTCGTCTGTTGCGCGGTGTCGTGTGAATAGCCTTGTTATCGCTCGCCGGTTTCTCTTTTTGTTTTTTTAAAGCATTGCATCTGATAAGGTGTAACTCCACGGCGGACCAGTCTGCCGAGCGATTGATCACGTGATGGGAGGACCGCAGGTCATCCGGCTGCAGAGAGCATTCACGCGACGGACCAAAGGAAAAAAGAAAAAAAGTAGCAGGGAAGGCGGACCGGTTTAAATCTCAACCCATACCAAGGCTCCGCCAAACGCCAGCAACGCACTGCGTGGTGGCCGGTTGTCAAGACGGAGGAAGAAGGCCTGCGACGCTTACTCGCGATGGCCCTGGTTGCCAGACATAGCGTTTTACAGTGTTAGAAACGAGCCACGGTCCGCCGCCGAAATCGTCGAGAGAAAAGGTGCTTCACTTTTCCCAACGGTGTGGTTCACTAGCACCACCTGTAGTTATCACCTCGTTTCTGTCTTTGCCACGTAATGACACTTGGATGCGCAAACTCGGCAATTGGACCCGAGTCCGACGCCGAACGTCCTTCGAAGCGTTGATTGGACACGAAGCCCAGTTAAACACTGACGCAGCATTCGTGTCAAATCTGCGTGTGCGCTTTCGATCTCGCTCCGATGACGGTAAAATTCGCGTGCTCGGGTCTTGGATCACTTTAGGCGGTGTTGGATCCGCAGATATCGACGTTGGACCTCGCAAACCGGTGACGTGAAGTGGCGTGATGCACGGTCCACGGAATTAAAACTGTAGCTTTGTCCGTCCTGTGGATACACCGAGAGATGAGTCGCAAAGTAGATGTTTCTGCCCCGAGTTTCAGCAACTTGGTCCTCTACGCCACAGAAAAATGTGACGCCTGCTCACTCCATATCAGGATAAGAACTCTCTATGCAGATTGCGTTTGCCCAGGATGGTCAAAAACCTCTGCCGCAGGTCGAAAAATTATGTTCCTTGTTTGATTCGGGATTGAATCGTTCGAGTTGTGTTGTTTTTGCAGAAAGCACATTATTTCGCAATAGCACGTCAGGTTAATTCTTGACGCAGTGACGTAGGAGTCTCCTTAAACAGACATACAACCGCACAAAGTTTACTCGTGTTCTTAGCAGTGTCAAATTAACATTATTTTCGTGTTATACGTTGGTATCAAGCTGTAAGTTTGTAAACGCTTGTTTTTTTAAGTGATAAGCACTTGCTCATAAACTAACTGGAACGATATTACAACAAACCTAACTAACTTTCCTTGTTTGTAGGCTCCCACCAAACTAACAGGCATTTACACTGAAGTAGCTTTTATCAATAAAAAAAAGAGCATTTTACCACCGTAAAAGACGACTCACCTCGAGGAACTTGCTGAAATTATATATTTTAACAAATCAGTTTTTTTTAATTTTGAACTCAGGTTTTTATTTATTTTCAGTGAAACAATAATTCAGTGTACAAAATGAAACGCCCAACAGGCAAAAAGAAATGCCGCGTTTTCGTTTTTGTTTTTTTTTTTTACTTTTTTTTGTATTTTGACTATGCCGTTTTTCCTCTTTTGTCCAAGATGTAAAACACAATCTAGCTCTACAATATATGTTATATATGTTATGGCCTGCCCGGAAGCCATACTTTAAGGCAACAGCTTAAAAATGTGTCACTCTTACAATTTCTAGTTTTCAATTCATTTGGTGCTACTGAATAGAATCCAGGAAGTTCAAAACGAGAGCTCGTTTGTGTGTTATCATTCCTCTCTCTTCTAGTCCCAGAATTCTTTTGCTCAGTGGGACATTTCTCGCCCGCCCACTTAAAGCGCATGTCAGGCAACAAACATTGCTTGGCAACTTACCTAAGGATACCGCTGTTTCATGGTAATCCTAATGACATCAGCGAACATTAGATAAATAAACACCAATGAAATCCCCACTCATCAAGAAACACGTGCAATGCAATGATTAATTAAACATAAGACTGGTCTCGTTCACTCATTCGAATGGTAATTTCTATCTAATGTGGCTGTGAACTTGAGGCAGACGTATGTCACATGATATGTATTTTCTTCGTTTCACGCTTCTCTACATTATATGGAAGTAGAGACTCATGTATAAAACTCCGTGTCTCTTCGTGCAATCCTCCTTTCTCGGTAGCAAATATAGTTATGCGGTCATTGCCTTATCATCGCAAATAGAGTGGCGGCAGTAGCCGTGGTGCTTTCCAACACCAAGTCCCTCCCCCCCCCCCCCCCCCCCCCCCCCCCCTTACGTGTTGTGTTCTGCACCACCTCCGCAAAGCGTTGCAGTCGAGCGTGACGCAACGCAGGAATGTGAAGGTAGTATGGGATTATGGACGAGTGGGTCAGTTAAGCGAGGAAATTGTAACGTCACGTGACGTCGCTGTCCCGTGAGAAACATGCCCCGAGCCCATCATTCAGCACATCATAGCCCCTCAGCGACAAGCATCAATCATCGAGCTCGTTACTATTTATAGCTAAAGGGTAACGCTTCCATTACGTCAGCATTATTTGCAATTAAACACCGAAAGGGGAGTCTATACGGCGGAGTTGAAACCGGAACCGAAATCCGATAAAAAGCTAAAAGTTTTCGAGAACCGGAACGAAACCGATATTTAGATGTCAAGACGCAGCAAGCCTGAACAAAGAGTGGAATCGAAATGGCAGGAGTCTGAACAGCAATAGGAAAATTAACCGGTAACATAGTTAATAGCGTCAGATATTTTTTTTTTTCAATTTTTAATAGGGATTTTCTTTTTTATAGAAAAAAGACTTTTTGTTGGTGGCTGTGGGGAGAGGAGACTAATGTGAGGAAGCTAAAATTGCGTAGTAATGTCTTTAGAAATGAGAATGGGGGGGAGAGACGCTAGTTAAGACATTTTAAAAGGACGCCAGTTCTTGCCGGTTGCGTAAACAATTAAGGAAGTTCGTTATTCCCCACCTTCACTTCGCCGATTTGGGCTGCTTGTTCACTTCATGTTTCGAACGTTCACGGCAGATGAAAACAGGTTGCGAATAAGATACGCCAAGCTTGTCTTCATAGTTTGCCGCAAGCCTTTCAAAAATATATTTTATTCTCACACAAATCTGCATTTTTTTTCTTTTCTTTTTTTTTCAACAGTCCGACGTATTTGGAATGTTACGAGAGAGCAGACTGGTTGTAATGCAGAAACAACCGACTCCAGAAACGGCAACGTTCTCCCAAGTTGAGCACTGTCTGCTCTGGTGGTCTGTTCGTGATCTTCATGGCAGCAAGGTTACCAGGTACAAGCTGGGGCCATTGATACGCCTCCACGAGATGTGTTTTTCTGGGGGGGAAAAACGATCGAACATTGCATGTACAATCGTGGAGCTGAAGCGACCAGTCGACAGCCAAAAAAATAGTAAAATAGCACTGACACTACCCCGACGCGTGAAGTTGACCTATACATCGTTTTCAGAGTGCGGTCAAAGCCTAGAGACAACGACGCGCATAGACACGAACCAAAGGCGCAATGTCATGGCACACTCACTGCGATTGATTGCATCAGGTGGAGGATGCGCTCGCACAGAAAAACGGCGAACGCCTGGACGTTGTACTTACGGCGCTGCTCGCTTGTACCATCGGCTGCGCTCGGACTTTAGGTGACACGAAGCGTAGAAATGAGACAGATAGCAAGCGTACTGTACTGCGGTATCGATCTCGTTCAGCCGGAGAATGCTTGAGAACTGCGCGCGTTTGTTGCCCATATGCTGTTACCGTGCGCAAGTTTCCAGTTATCATCACGTTTGCTCGTTCATACGTTTCATGAATGACTGGACCGGCGCCGAGGCCAGACGACAAGTGCCAGTCGCCGGGAGTAAAATGTGGATGCCAGTCACACTGAAGTACTCCGAAAATGCGAAAAAGAAACACCACTCAAAAAAAAAAAAAAAAAGGAGGGAAGAAAAGATTTAGCAATAGCGCGTTTTCCTCCCTTCCACTAGCGCGCCCCAAAGCGGACGCCAGAAGAAGGGAGGAATGAGACGCTATTCTTCTTCTCTAGGCAGAAGGGAGAAAAGTACCGTCCTTCCGCGTCCACCTCTTTCGGTTTCGTTTTTCAGGCATGTCACACGCGTTGGTTAAAAATGCTGTTGAGCTGACACGGCGCCATCGGAAACGAAGAACATCTGCAAGTCAGTCTTGCAATCCAAACGCGCAGAGCACCTGTGTTTCACTGACGTTTGTACGACTACTTCTGTCAAACGACCAAACTAAGCCTTTAGCCTTTATAAATGGCGTAGTTACAAAACAGTGCCCACAGTGCTACGTACACTGGGTTATGGTGGCTGTCTCCGCAACCCGAGTACCAACGACAATCGCCGTGGTCTTGTATTTACGCGTGTCGCCAACATCTTCATGAAATTGTGCGTTGTGAACAAAAACTGGAATCGTTGACTCGCCGATGCTATATGAGATGAGATGCAAGATGGTATGACGTATACTGTCGCAGATTTACATTGTTTTACACAAAGAGTTTAAAAGGATTGTTTGAGCGATTACGTGCAATCGATCGACCTGCAGGTTTTGTTGGAACACTAGTCTGAACCGTAGTTCCTCTCGTACGGGCCATTGTAATTGTCGTCTGTATTGTCCGGTTGTTTTCTCCACGAGAGCGATTGAGCTCTCGGGGAAGGGCTGAACGGGCTCGAAATAGGACGAAGTACGTACATTTACAGTTGGTATATTTGCATTAAACGAAATCAAACAGGAAGACAGACGTGTTGATAGGAAAATTTCCTTTGTGTTTAGCCGGATAGTTTTTAGTCGACAGTCGGCTAATGACCGAGAAGCTTGTTTTCGAACTCACCACGACGTAGCTAGGCGTACACAACACCTGCCTCAAATCGCGGCTTTGACCGCTTTCATGTTGGCCGAAGTGCGACTTTACTGCCCGTGAAGCACCGCTTCCAGCTGAGTGAGTACCTCCGTTACAGAGATTAATTCAAGACGACAATTCCAACCTTACACAATACAGCTCAAAAAAACAAATTCTACGATAAAAAAAAAAAAAACTGGCATCTTTCGCGTCATTTTACGGCGTGCTTTGTGGCAAAGAAAACACGGCGCCGCCAGAAACCACAGTTGAGTGGGTTGTTTTATCGGATGCCTCAAATAATTACGTCATAAACGTTCACCATAAAAGCAATAACTGTTAACGTCCCTGCCCAGCAAAAATAAAATAAAATGGTCGGTGCAATTAGGTGTACTATGCCGCATAAATTTCCGTACAACTACGTGTGGGTGGCAAAATAAATAAGAAGGGAGGGGGGTGATGAGAGGTGACGTCCTTACGTATTGTGACCTTTACACTAATCAGTTTCCCCGCTAAATGTGGCTTTAATTTTAATGTAACATGACCAGCTTAAATTTTGTGGGGACGCTAAATTTCTGTATACTTCACGTGACGTCGGGACACGTGACACAACTTTCCCAGCAAAATAAAACGGAGAAACTGAATTGATATATACATCACGCGACGTTAAGTCACGTGAGTTCAATTGTTTTCTCTAAATTTAGAGGGGAAACTTTCTTGGTGTGTAGGTGACGCGACGTCAACATACATGACATGTATTTCCCGTCAAATTTAGCGGAAATACAGAGTGGCGTATAGGTCACGTGACATTAATTATTTAGCCAAATTTAGCGGGGGAAACAACTGGTGTCTAGGTCACTCGACGTCAATTTTCCCTAGACGTCTAAAACAACCCCTAGGGCGATTTTAAGGACGACCTCTAGGACGACCTGAAGGACGACGTCCTAGAGGACGATGTCAAAGACGACGCCTAGGACGACCTCCAGAATGACGTCAAGGACTACCTCTAGGACGACGAGTCGAGGACGATGTCAACGTTTGGATATACACACCGTTCTTCCACTTAATAAAGGTCGAGTTTAGATAGAATGTAAGCGATTCGAGAAAGCCATCAACAGCCATTCCTGCTGCATTCTGAAACGCCACCACCCTTTGTTTATCGATGCTTTCCTCTGCGCAGGTCAGTATTTCGTCGTGCAGTAGGGAATAGTATAAAATTTAAATATCTAGTCTGCAGGCTAGCAAGCCTTTGTTCGCGTTTCTCTTTAAAACATCTACGACTTCATTCAAACTTTCGACCAAAAAAGGGTCCTCAATACAAGTGGCTCCCAGTTTAGTTTATCTTGCAAGAAGGGTGCTACCGATTTCTGCCATGTCTCTCTCTCCGAAACTATCACTCTCAACGGACAATCAACTTTGTGTGCCTTATCGCTGAACGTCATTTGTAGTTATTTCCTTTTCTCTTGTCAATACTCTGTGGCAACGTGTCTAATTTTATCCTCTTGCACAATTTTTTTTTTTCTCTTCCGCCTTTAGCTTAGTTAAAGACATCTTTTGACGATGATTGAAAACTGACAAAATAGCCCTCAAGGGCCTTACCCCCCAACTCGGCTTCTCTTAACACCGGAAACTCCGTCCTTATCGGCGGGAATGATGGACCATTGGCGCTCTTTCAATTACGACACCGCACGCTTAACGGTAATTCGGGGCCTCGCGAGTGTGGTATTATTCCTGGCAATACCAAACCCACGTTCCTGGTAAAGCTAAACAAAGCAGAAATTTACGATTCTTCTCGTTAAGGGAGGAATTTTAAATGCGTGCTTTGTGAACGCCATCAGAAGGTCGTGTCATCGTGCGATGCCTTCAGGTCTGAAGGAGCAGTCGGAACGCTTGGTGGCAGCCGGTTTTCCAGGGATGCTTCTGGTATCGGTTGCAGAAAGAGTTCTAAAGAAGCTGCGAGGAGTAGCGAGTCCAGATCAAGATATGCCCCCCCCCCCCCCCCCCAAAAAAAAAAAAATACAGAGTGGCGGTTGTGCATTGAATGCACAAAACCGCACAAAATCTCGAAAAGATAACAAACAGCGTAAATGCTCGGGTGGTTTTTTCTGCACCGCAAAGACTTCCCAAGTTGTGCAAACTGACGGACCCTTACCGCAAACCACCGGTTGGCTGCATGAAAAAGCATCGCAGCCCGTTTGTTGCATGCGCATGAGTTGTCTATCAGATCCCACTGACGTTCGGCAGGCAGTACGTGGGAAAGACGGGAAGATGTCTAAATGAGAGATTGCGCGAAACCAACCAAAAATTGAGCGGACAGCGTGACGGTCATTTTTCAGTGCACTGCCATGACTTCTGGGTGCAAACGGAATTTAATTTGTGCACTGTTATTATGCCTGTGTCCCACTAGAGCGACAGACAGAAACAAAAGACAGCGACAAGCCTCAAACACATGCAGCATGCTCGCTATGGTACCTTTGGCAGGCGTTTAGTTGTTCGGTGCTCGAGAAGTAAGTACGAGCGATTGCAATTCTGCCAAAGATGCCCTCCCGTGCTTGATGCTCGTGTTTGAGCATAGCCTCCTCTAATCTACAAAGCCTCTCAACTTGCGAAAGACTCTGGTTTGAGACTTGTCGCTGTCGTTTGTTTCTGTCTGTCGCTCTAGTAGGACACTGGCATTAAAAAACAGAGATAGACGGTAAGGAAAATGAGAAAGGTAGACCTGATAAAAAAAAAACTACGGGGATTGATATGTCATCGTAGCGTCGAACGATTAGGGTGACAAGAAGAAACAGTTCTTTCAAGTATTGGCGTGGCATGGGATTGAATTAATGGCGCGATGATGCAGAGAATTTACTCCATTGCTTTCCTGAAGATCAAACAGTTGAAGTTAGCGCATCGTGTAGTCTCGTTCTTAGTCTCGTCCGTCTTGAAGCACTATCATGTCCGCAAAGTTTCAATACCAACTCGCCCAAGAAGCCGGATTACTCACCTCCGAAGAGGGTGCGAATGTGAAGAAGTGTGAGCATGTGAGCTGAAATGGTCTACTGCGCCTACCTACTGCGCATTAGGAGTCGAAAAGGTAATGAAGTCCGGCGGGGGAGGAGGGGTGGGGGGTTAGCTAATGTGTGCTGCAGTTTGATACTTTAGACCCATGTTGCGGATAAAAAAAACAGGACGTGGGATGGCAAAAAAAAAAAAAATGAAAACCGTTTACAACACCCTGTAACGCCGAATTAGAGCGCAGCTCTTGGGGAGGAGGAGGGGAAGATACGAAGAGGGGACTATGCCCTTCCTCCTCTCCTGCTCGCCTCTCATTTAGGGGGAATTTTCCGCTAAATTTAGCCAACAAATATGTCCGCTAAATTTAGCGGGGAAATATTTCCGCTAGATTTAACGAGAAATTTTTCTGCTAAATGTGGCGGGGAAAGGTCTCCGCTAAACTTGGTGGGAAACTTTTTCCGTTAGATCTAGCG